TGGAGTGTATTTTTTGGCTGTGACAGACCTTTCTTTGTTTCGTGGATGTTTTGCTGGCTTGTGATGGGGTGTGAACCGACAGTCTGTAGAGTTTTCCATCTGGTATGGGTGAGTGATAGTCTACTTTAATTTTGGTTAAGGTAGATTATCGTTTACAGCGTAATCAGTGAGGGGATTCTGCAGACTGTTGAGGGTTTAGCCTCCTGATGAGTCTGTGAAACTCCGACGAAACAGTTTGTCACAACCCCTCGTTTGTTGTCTTCTTCTCTCTCTCTGCCTACGGTTTACCGGGCAGTTCTGTTTGTGACTATATATATATATATATATATATATATATATATATCGTCATATATATATATATATATACACATGGTTGTCAGGCCAAGCGTTTGGGGACCCCCGGGCTGACCCCCGAACATTCGGTCGTTCGAGGTCCCATTCGGGGTCCGAACCTGAAAGGGTTTCAGGTTCAGACCCCGTCAAAAACATTTCGGGAACCAAATTTTTTATTGTTTTTTTTAAATGGTTTTAGTGAGTTCTGTTTGACATGCGCTACATGCATATAAATTTTCAATGCATTTTGCCAAGCCAAATAAAAACGAAAAATAGCGAAAGATGGTCGTGTCAAAACACGCCCGGCCTCTAAGTTTTTTTTTCACTTTTGACTTTTTGTTTTGATTTTATTTTGGTCCCTCAAATATTTTATTATTTTTTAAAAAACTTTTATAAAATTTATATTATGTGAAATACATATATTTTAATTTTCAGGGCATTTGGCTTATCCCAAAAAAAAATAAAAAATGGCCAAATATGGCGATGTCGAAAACGTGCCCGCCCACTCAATACTTTTAAATCTCTCTTTATTTTTTAATGTTTTTTTATTATTATTTATTGTTTGTATTTTATTTTTATTTCACATTTGGTAAGGAATTCTGATGTAAGGATAAGGCAAATTTTGTTCGTTTTCTGTTTCTGCAAAACATATATGTTTTTCAGATTTTTTGAAATTTTTAGTTTTTTTTCTTTCTAGGTCCGCATTCGGGCCGAACGGCCGAATGCATCCCTAAGGGGGGCGGAACGTTCGGAAGGTTCAACAGTTCAGCCAAGCCTGAACTCATACATGGTTGCCCGACCGAACGTTCAGGGGGCCCCGGGCTGCCCCCCGAACATTCGGGCGTTCGGGGTCCCGTTCGGATCCTCACACATGTGTTTCCTACATGAAAATTTTTTTTTTTTAGAGTTTTGTATGACATGTGCTTCCTGCATGAGAATTTTCAAGGCATTTTGACAAGCCAAAACAAAATGAAAAAGCGCCAAAGATGGCTCTGTTAAAATGTGCCCGGCCGCTCGTTTTTTTTTTTTAACTCCACTTTTCACTTTTTGTTTTGATGCCTTAAATATTTTATTATTTTTTTTAACTTTTTTTATGAGCTTTATATTATGTGAAATAATCATCTGTACATTTCTAGGGCATTTGGCTATCCCCCCCCTCCAAAAAAAAAAAACAAAGATGGCGGTGTCGAAGACGTGCTCGCCCACTCACTAATTTTAATTCTTATTTTATTTTTTTAATTTTTTTAATTTTTTTTATTATTGTTTTTCATATTTTACTTTTATTTCACATTTGGTAAGGAATTTGGATGTAACGCTGAGGCAAATGCTCTTTGTTTTAGTTTTCTTCAAAACATATATGTTTTTCAGAGTTTTTGGAATCACTGATTTTATTTATTTATTTATTTATTTTAAAGATCCACGTTCGGCCCGAAGGACCGAACGCATCCCCAAGGGGAGCC